AATTTAATTAAGTAACAGCTTGTATACAACATAAGGTACGTATCCAATTTTCTTATACTTTAAGTCTTATGTTTATGATGAGAAATGTATAAATTTAATCTTGATGAAGTTAAATCATAAAGAATGTGGCAGTAGTAACTCGAACAAACGTAACGCGCTTCAGCTAATGGGTTTATGTTGGCTGTATAGAATTATCTCACATTAAGGGCTTCACTTCTTGTCATTTTGTGCACACTTATGTAATAAAAGCTTCAGTTGTGCTGTTCTATTTTAATCACTAAGCCAATTTAGACATTTCGCTCAATGACATTTGCCGCAATTTCTTTGCGATGAATATATTTTGTGCGCTGAAGACGTAATAAGTATAATAAATGCGAAGCGAGTTTGCTGTTACATCTTTGTGCCCTAATGGCTTTACTAATTGTTACCCGAAGGGTTAATCGAAATTTAGCGTATACGTGATGATAGGGATTTTATCCTTGTCACACACACACACACACACACACACACACACACACACACACACACACACACACACACACACACACACACACACACACACACACACACACACACACACACACACACACACACACACACACACACACACACACACACACACACACACACACATATATATATATATATATATATATATATATATATGTGTGTGTGTGATTAATACAATAATATATATAATATTTTATTTAGCATTAAATGAACTAACGCACATAGGATAGTCACAAGAGGAAATGTATCAGAGTTACGAGCATGTTGTTTTATTGAGATTATACGTCAAAAAGACACAAATAGGTAAAACTGCTAAATGTGGACATGATAATGAATGGTTGCATAATAGATGGACAACATTCTACTACCGATTAGCATACCTTAATCAACAGTTCACTTAACTTTCTTCCTGCAACTACTTTACATTCACGCATGTACATTTGTAAAGGCCCTTCGAGAATGCATCCGTGATTGTCAAATCGCCGCTGTGGTACACGATGTTTAAAGCTTTTCCGTGTCTTATTCAATTGGCACATAACAATGCGTGCCTTAAGTTGCGAATTACGAAACATTTAAGTAAGTACTTTAGCTGTTACTTAATACTCAAAGATGGTGGAAGTAAAAACTCTAGCTTCAAACATATGTTTGCATGAATATATGTAATAATAATAATAAGACAAATGGAATAAATACCGCAATGAGATTTTATTTCTGAAAGCAAATTCATTAATTTAAACTTTGGGTATCAGAATAAGATTAATTGTTCCCTATTCCTCGTTGATGATAGTGGCCATCATTACTTAATCATTACTTAATTTTAATCATCTTTTCACTGTCCCTAAGCGAGAGTTCCCATAGAGTCTTTTACTTCCTATAACGATGCTCATTTTTGTGCATTGCTTCTGTAATGTAGTTTTGCACAAGCTAGCAATAAATCTATAAGTAAACTGGTATTTAAATGTGGGTTCCAATCCTGTAGGATTAGCCAATATAATATTCTGTATACAAAGTAAAGAGGGAAAATAATGATTGAGTATGACTTGTATAATTTAACGAAGGTATCTTTTCTATATAAAATATGTTTTTGTTTTCAATGTATTTGCCGCGTCCATTACATTCCGTACAACGTCAGCTATTATTGTTGCCGTCCTCGATTCAGCGCCTTTCTGTCTTGTCTTGTTTTATATCGATCTGCTGACGAGACCAAAACAACAATTGCATAAAATAAGGGGACCGTCTTCTCTTTAATCTACTTGTCAGGAAGCTACTCACAAATTGCCTAAATGCATCGATTCTATTTTTATCGTTGAATCAGAATGTTCCCAAACATTTTCTTTTCTCTTAATTTATATTCAGCAACTATTTGTAACAAACATTTTTTTATAAAAAGTAATCTTGGAAGATAAGAATGAGCAGTACCGAGGAATAATGGTTTCCATAGTAACGCCCTACGAAATTTAGAATTTAGAATGAATTTTAGTAATTTAATTAGATTACCAGAGAAAGATTTAAATTAAAATTTACTGAAAGTATTTTCGTGAAAAAAGCAAGTAGGTAGCTAAATCCTTTGGGATTTATTTTGTTAATAAAGGAATAAAGAATGCCCCTTTTGTATTTCGGTCGGCTTATTGCGCTCTGATGTGCAGTTTGTGGTTACTGCAGTCCTATCTCTGCATAGCCGTCGAAATATTTTGTATAAAAATAGTACTAGCTGTAAATGTACATATAATATTTGATAATCAACATGAAAATAGTTGTTTATAAAACAATATTCACCTATTTCCATCGAAAAATATGTTGTAAAACATATTGTATTATTTATACATGTTTTGCGAAAAGCATTTTATTGAGAAATCTACGTAAGCAAAAATAATGTCTATATAATTTATGTACAGGTCTTGCTTTAAACGCTCTACATGTACGACTACATTTGCTTGTAATGTGGTATTAGTCTTTATTTTTCCTTAGATGACTTTTCGAGAAGAAAAAGCATTATATTATATATTAAGTTTGTAATAACACACATACACTCCGATACATTTTTTGACAAAATGTGTTTTTAAATAAATACCTACTTCAAAATGTTATAATGGTTTAGGCCAATGAAAGCTTATATAATGTAGTTATAAATTTTAATTGGCTGTAATTATCGTCTTTTTTCGCGTGAATTGAGATAAAAATTATCTCATGTTAATATACAGTGTGGTATATCTGTGAAGCCAATAATACGTTCAACCATCTTCAAGCATGATTAAGTAACATGTAAACAAACATCTTTACGAACTTTCCCATTTATAATGACAGAAACACAGGAAGTTCGTTGGCTGTCTCGTTAGAGGATGAGTCTGAGTTTTCTGACACACGTCGCTTGCCACTTCTACGGTGGCTATATCTATTTGAACAGCTCAAATAATTTCTATCTCTTACATCTGATCGCTTACAAATTGTGCAGATATGAGATTCTATATATGTTTTTTACCGACTATTTATGTAGGAGGAGGTTCTCAACGTGGTTGTATTATTTTGTTTCTTACCTTATATCCTTTAAAAAGCTTGAGATATTTCGTATTCGTCATTTATAAATCGATTTGAAAAATATTTTTCTTATCTGAAAGGATTTTGAATTCTGAAGTTTTTATATAAATTTTATTGAAATTGGTTCAATAGTTTAGTTTTTGAATAATTTTTATCATGATTGAATATGCTGTTTTATTTGTGGTAAAAAATCTTAAATCACATCTTCTGCTTGTATTTCTTTTTAAGGATTTTATTTAGTTTTATTTAATCCATAAAATACAAGGTGAAATTAAAATCGTCAGCATCCTTTTGTTTGAGAGTACTCTACCAGTGTAAATTGTTTAACTGTACATTTTTGTCAAAGAGTTGATAGCCGCTTTCCATCGGTTAGACCGTCTGCTCGTTTGCCTCTCTAACAATAAAAAAAAGGAAACATGTACCAAAAAATTAGAAAACAATTTAAACCCTCCACAGTAATACTGCACGTTCAGTTGTTATGTTAGTAATAAATTTGTCTTTTTTTTGTTACTGTAGATTTATAGTTTTACTTACGACTGTATGGTTATGAATATAAGTTAGATTTGAACGTACGAGCATGTTAATTAAAATATCAATGTTAGTTTTTTTTTTATTTCTATCTATCTATCTATTTTGGTCAGGACCAAAATAGAATATGCAGAATGAATCGAAAGGCGAAGACCTCTACCCTTTAATACATTAATCTATTTTCATACTGCTTTCCATGCATTTGTTTGCAATTTGCATAAAAAATAACCTTCTTATTACCACAAAGCGCGTATTTGAAAAGAGTTACTCTCTCAGAAAATATTATGAAAAGTTTTATGTTCTGGAAGTCGAGTTACGCATAAAAGTCGCGGAAATTGTTTGTTTTCTAGTTGTGAAAAATACTGTTAAAAGATTACTCGTGCCTATGACGTGTTTCTCATTGAAAGTGCAGATTATCTATATATAACTATGTTATTACAAGTATTTTAATATTCAATATCAGTAAAACATTTTTGAATATGATTTAAGAATAAGCAAGGGACTTTACTTAAAGTTTCTATATTTATGATTGTAAAAGGTACGTAATATATGTCCATAATATATAAAAATGCAATATATTTAAAATATTAGAAAGATACTACTATATTATTATATATTCCGTAATATAATGGGGTTTCATTTCTTAGTTTAAATTAGTAGGTTCTATTTAGAAGTTAATATATAGAATAATTTGAAGTTTCTAGAACTCTTTGTATGAGAGGTTGTGCTTATATTCTGTAATTATTATTTAGGTATTAATTGTTACACATACCTACACTGTATTTAATTTGTATTGTTAATTTTTTTTAATAAATGTATAAATATTGTTTTGTCTAAATTCTTAGATATTACACCTAAAAGCCATCCTTTAATAATTGGGTAAAAGGCTAAGGCAATAAGGCTAAAAGGATGGTGAAGTGAACCCAATTTGCAAACTTTCAACCATCCCTTCCATCCATTTAAGGCGTAATTTTGCGAAAATCCGTTTACACCTTGCATACGATATGTGTGACTAACAGTTGGGTGATTCTTAAATAGTTTTCAGATAACCCAAAAAAATAAAAGTTTTTTTTTACGACATATTGCGATGTACATCAAAAGTATATACCAAAAGCATATTTTTGATGTGTATGAACAAGCTTAATACCCTTAGGAAAGGTAAAAAAAAATTGGTACATAAACACGGCTGTGACAGACTGTGCCTCGGTCGTGACGTTACTAAACGTGGCTGTGACACTGTATGATATGTAAGTGGCAGTTTTACATTTTGCACTGTAATTGTTAATATTAAAGTTTTTAAATTTGTGTCATCTTAGTTTAAAGTGATTGAGCAATTAATAAAACACTGAAATGGTTTAATCAACAATATTTATTTGGTATATTTCTTTTTAAACATAAAATAATTAAATGATAAATGAGATCCCGTCAAAAATACCGTCAGGTAATCATTCTACCTACTAATACAACAAATCAGCCTTTTATTCTTAGAACTATCTGATCACAGGTAGCATTGTTTTGATATCACATAGTACCTATAATTAGTAAACTATTAAACATAATAACTGAGTATCAAATTTGGACTCATTTTTATCCTCTCGTAAATATTATAATAGTAAAGTTGAGAATAATGCTTAAAGTAATTGCAGCGTTTTAGCTTTGAACACAATTAAAAAGTCAATCTTCTAGAAAGAAAGTTAAACTTCTAAAAAAAATAACACAATATCACTTATTAAACATCTGAAAAAAAAAACTTAAAATCAACAAAATTAAAGGATTGATTTTTTTTCACCAAAGAAGTAAAATCGTACATTTACATAAAAAGTAGTAGTACAATACTCTATCATCACTGCAATGCACCTGCAAATTATGTAAAAAGCCTCAAACCTTTTACATAATGGGATGATTAAATAAATCGGAATCGATTTTGAAAATTAGTTCTCCTCGCCTACCGGGAGTGGGTTCTTGCAACACACAAACAATGTCTTCAGGGCCAATATCTGCACAATCATTGTTATTCCAAGTAAAGACTACGTCTCCTGATATCACGTTATGATACTTCTTCTTAGTAAATTTGGTATAGTAAGGTGCATCAGGTTTGTCGTTATTTAAACTAACAATTTGACCTACAAAAAGGGAAACTACGTTCTTTTTTCCTGAAAACTTGGCTAGTACCCACGTCCCTTCTTGCAAATTACGTTTATTAGCTTCAGAAGAATTGTTACCGATTATAGGTTCAATCAGATTAGGATTAGTCGTGTATAGATTTGATCCTGCATCACGTTCAATGGTCAATCGTACTATCGGACGTCTTGAACAGGGATAATGAGGACATTTATCTTTTATTTTACAGCAGGCACAAGAAAGATCCCTTATATTGAGCATTGTGGGTTCTTCAGTATTCCATGTTAACTGATGCATATTTTTTGTGCCTGGTATACTTAAAATCTTAACAGAATTTCGAAGCAAAGCTTCAGATTCTTTAATGTCTTGCTCACTTACTTCATATACCAAAACGTTGCAGTTGGTTTTTACAACTTGGACAAAAGTTTTATAGTCAGGTATATCATTACCTTTAAGGACATGGTTATTAGCAGCTCCTTTCAAAGCCGCACCGACACCATCTGCAGGACCTTTACCGTGTGCTGTTTCAGTAAAATTCCATGTTGCTGCAGAAATATTCAATATACGAACAAGGTGTTGAGTGAAAAGATAGAAATTGCTCTTGTTTTTGTATTGACTGCTTGGGCCATCGCTAACAATATGTAGCACCTTAATATTTTCATGTGCAATCAAATGCGTTAACGCTGTTAAGGCTGTCTTCAAATGAGCATGTACTGCGGCCGCATCATGACGCAGGCAGGCAGAAACAGAACAAAAGGATATGGTATCCACTTGTCCAGTGACATTCGAAAAGTAATATAAAACCCCTGTGTGAATTGACACCTGCTGACGTGATGCTCCAAAATGTACAGATTGAATTTCTGAGAAATATTTGCATGCGTAATTTTCAGAAAAATCAATTCTTACCAAAATTTCCCCTGTAACTAAATTAGTCTTGATATGATTAATTGCTTGATATTGATTACCTATATTAAAAGTGTGCAGGAGAAACCTTGGCAGAATTTCCAGAAAAGCTTCAACTAGCCCCTTTTTGTTAGTTATAAGTCTACATTTAATTATTCTTCTGATCGATTTGATACTACCTTTTATATCCCGTTCTTCATTTTCGCTCACCCATTGATGGTAAGAAATGCCTTCGTTTTCGAACGCCATAAACTTAGGAATTTTGTTAAGACACTGAGAGCATTTACGACTCATGCAATTATATGAATTAGTATTACATACCACACTTTCTATTACGGTGTCTCCATTTTGTATGATTTTTAATGATTTTAATCTGTTTAGCATCATATCAAAATTGTCGTGAAGTACACACAAGCATGTATCGCGATCAGTTAATTTTGCCTTAACAATCCAGAATGGACGCAAACGGCAAAAACTTGCATAACTTACACGCAATTTTGGGTCTGATACGACATTGTACTTTTTTCGTAGATTTTCCATAGTATCAGTAATATACCTTTTCTGTTTCTTCATTTTATGCCGCGTAATTGTATCTTTCACTCCAGGATTTATCATAGAATTTTCTTCACTTTCTAGAAACTTTTGAACTGAAATTTTACGACGACACCAAATATCTTTCAAAACTCTTTGTCTTTACCTGGCTTTGATCGGTATTTGAGAAACCTGCTTTATCAGCCTGTTCATTTTAACTTGAAGAGTATGTATTGCTTTCTGCTGTACTTTTATTTTTGCTTTTTGATTCATAATTATAACATCGGTTAGTTTCCTGCGTTGTTTGTGTTCTTTTAACGCTTGGCGCCTTTGTCTACTTATTACGCTGCCTCGAGAACTGATGGAGGATGGAGTTTCACCTCGTTGTGATATTGTAGGTGTATCGTCTCTTCTAACCTCCGGTGTTGTATCGCGCAGTTTTACTGGTGAAGAGACGCTTGGATCTGGCGTCAGGGCTTCATTAATTTCCAAATCAGACGGAGGAGTGTTCTCCCTGATTAGTTGCATCCCACGTTCTCTGCATTTTTTTAATGCTCGACTTTTTCTAGTACGTTCACGCCATTTTTCTCGTTGCGCCTTCTGATCACGATGTGTTAAATCTTTTATTGATAGTATTTTCTTTTGCTCCTTTCTTTGTTGACGCCGTGCTCGTTCTTTTTCTTTTGCTTCCTCGTATTTAACGGGATCTGCTTTTATTTTGGCACGTCTCCTCTTTTCATATTCACGCCTTGCTTTTTTTCTTGCTTCTGTCGTGGCATTGTTATTCTTCTTTCGTGGCATCTATAGAATTAGAATAGTGAAAAATCAGTATACTTAGTAAAAGGAAATTTCTAAAATTAAACAAAATAATTTAGCATAACAACAAAAGCCACTAAATTATTCAAATGAAATGGAATGTCACGACCATGCATTATATATGTCACGACCATGTACTCAAAAAGTCCGTGGCGGTGACATTTTTTTCATACCATGGCCGTGACAATTTGAAACGTGTTCGATATAACCTAAAAACTAGCCATGGTTTCGCAAATCTTAAGGAATTATCTTAAACTACACTATATGAGGTACATATTATGTTTCAAACAATAGCGTGACACTGGTACTTACGTTCAAAACAAGTACACGGCGATGACGTGTTAAGGTTGTCCTTTTTTTTAAATAAATGAAAAAAAATATTTTGCGAACCACACACTACATTCAGACATTTGCAAATCTGACAAGAAGACAGTGTTGTCGTTCTAAAAAAATGTAGAAAGGGTTGCCAACATCAAAGATGCTTTTCTACCTAGTACCCCATTTTTATAGTATCGTACATGGTCGTGACACAAAAACTCGTCACAAACTTTATGTTGTTCAAAATCATAAATAGTCATTATTATTAATATATTTTTTAAACTGTCTTATAGAACAAAGGTTAGTCTTGCATAATTGCTGTAATTTTTTGCAAACTAACATGACATTTCTTTAGAAAAAAATATTTTATTTCCAAATCCGGCAATCTCACACTACACGGTCCGTGACATTTTGGACTTTGGATTTTTTTTAAATATGTTTCTAATGATTTCATGGCAAAAATTATATTCAAATATGATACTAGAAGTAGTTTACTAAGTAATTTAATATACAGTTTACTGATTTTGCTAAAAAATATATTAAATTCTTACAACTCACACAAAAAAACGTAAGAATAAGAATCACCCAGTTACGTATCTATTACTATGGAAAAGGTATGTAATATTGATATTTCGATATATTGCTTGTAACGTGATTAGTGCAGGTGGCGTACAGGATGGTGTCTCCGTAGTCAATTATTATTATAATGATATTGAAGTAATTTTATAAACAAAATTGAAAATATAAGTAATCGATGAGAATATTAATTTTCATATAGTAAAAAAATATTGTGGAGTAAAAGACTATTTCATAGATAGTTATTTCAAGTTAATGTATTTATTATTTAACTGTAAGTGCTTAACTATAAATAGTATAATAAAACCAACGTGGAATTAGGGATACAGGGATATATAATATACACAATTAAAGAAGAAACAAGAATGTATAGCTCAAACGCCCACAATGGCTTATTTAGCTAATTTAATAAATTATGACAAAATCTACAAGGCTAAAACTAAAATTAGCAAATTTGATAAAGAATCTAGTTTTTAATACATCTAGATATTAGAGCTTTAAAATATTTTTCAAATTTACTTTATGATAGATCTCAATAGATCTTTTCACAACGTCGATCGTTACCTAAAAGCAATCTGATTATGGCTGCGAAAAAAAAAAGCTGTTTACAGATGGTAGAATGACAAAAAAACTTATTATCATAATTTTCCATTAACCTAATTAAACTGATTCCAAAGCAGACAAAATTTCAAAAAAGAATTGATAAGGGAGTCACATAGTAAATTATAAAAGAAATGTATTCGAGATTCAGTACGGTATCGCTCTACAATAAATAATTCATAAGTGGCATTTATTGAAGGCAAGAGAGCTTGCTGGATCTATTGTGGTAAGGTGATGGAGCTTGTATACTTTACGCACGCTATGAAAATACTTACCATTCGTCTATCTAAGAATGGGCTAAGAAAAGCTTTTGTCAACTTTAATACGTTCCTTGTGTATGGTAGATTTATAGAACCGGATCCTAGCACGCGTTTATTTAATTTTCTATGGAGAAAATTGCTTTTTTATTTTTGATAATACTTTGATACCTATCACAATACTGGTTACGTTATATAATTTATAAAAAAAAAACACGTGGAGGTAGTATGCTTATTATGAAAATAAATTTAAAATTATTTTCAAAAATTTTAAATTATTCCCAAAAAAAAATAGCAATCGCATATAATTTTGATCGGTTCACAATAATTGCCTTTTGATAATTACAGGGCTGATTTTTAGGTCAATACTTTATCTCATATTTTTATTTTACATAATACATATTATATTACCAATATTTATGATTATATAATTCCAATTAAATGTGGTTTAATTTTTGTACCCATTTAAATATTTTACTGTACCAATATTGTATAATTTATCATATGGGTAATAATTGTGTGTAATGAGAGGCAGTCTTATTAATGCTAAGCAATCTCCCCCAAACAACTTTATTTAATTTCTATATAATTTTGATTGACGAGCTCCGCATTGCTAAACCGTAATTAGTGACGAGCCACGTTGCTTCCTTTCCGTTCTGGGTTCGATACTTAGACGGTTCAACTTGAAAACTTTCCTATAATATTTCGTTTCTAGATGTTTTCATTATTGAATAAAGAAATCTGCAGCATTTAAAAAGATGGTTCAGAGCATGCCTGAGATATCTTTTGTTAATTTTTATGCAAAGAAAAAGCATAATACGCGATGGGCTATTGTAACATAAACATTATATGTATTACAACAGTATTTAGATTTTCTCTAAACAAAGTGAAGTCAATAAAAATGCAAATCATTCCTTGGTTAGACTAATGAGCTCTTGTAGAGCTTAATACCTTTGGGTAATCTTTCGCTTAATGTTTAATTTACTATTATTTGTCGACTTAATTTACATTTTGGTTTAAAATATTAATAGAATAGATTGATCAACAAATCTGAGTATATGATCAAAAATATTTACTAAATAACAACAGAAATATTATTTTTAAATGATTCCCTTTTTATGAAGCAAACATCTGTTGTGCAAAAATCGTTATTTTAAACTGTCACGTCATGAAAATACGATGACAAGGATATAAAAAATAACAGGGCCGTAAAAAACTATTGCGCCTCCTGGGAATTATAGTTCGTTGAGCGCATATACACCGTGCTTTTGCTGAATTTAATCCTAGTTTCCATAGCTCTCTCAAATCTCTATTAGTCCTTATTTTATTACGTTTTACTTAAAACTGTTTAATTAAATTAAGAAGATTCAGAAATAAAACGGTTTATATTCGTTCTCGTATATTTTTATTTAATACTGAAATTACATAGTCAACTGACAAAAATCTTATGCGGTTTATCCGCTGTTCTGCTTATATTTTATGATAATTCATACAAAAGTGTAAAAATATGGGTTAGAATGATATATATGGTGTTTTATTAGACCATATCTACGTATATTATTATTATTGATTTTTTTTATATGTATGATTTTTATATTATTTTGTTTCTGTTCCATTCATTTTCTCAATCCTTACAACTAGCTCACGATGTATATGTAAATTAATGTAATAAATGTGAATGAGTTGCGTTAGTAAACAACGTAAGATATCTAAAATAAAATGTATTATGTTATTCTATTTATTTATTTACAACAAACTTAAAACAATTGCCTGTAACAGAGTTTAAATCCAAATTATGCAAACTTTTAATAAATAAATGTTATTACAAAGATGTTCAAACCTTCTTGACAGAGCTATCAATTTAAAATAATAATTGTTAATAGATTTTTCGTTACTTTTTATTATTATTGTGTATTTATTATTATATATTATCCGTGTGGTCCTGGCATATATACTAGTAAAAATATTACTAGTGGTAGCTCAGTGGTCGAAATCCGACCATAACATATGTAATAAATGAATTTATTTAGGTTATGTTTCACATTCAGTAAGACTATAAACAAATAATAGAAAAGACAATATTAATCTACTCTCAATTTGACCACAAACTTTAACGAAAGCAAAAGAGTATATATACGTGTGTGTGTGTGTGTGTCAAATACATGTTAGTGCATGTAATGATTTTTCATTGATTTAATGTATGCATAATTTTAAAAAAATGTTATCATTCTGCACTCTTTTTCTATATAAATTATGAATGTGTGAAATTTCATACTCCTTGGACCGCGCAATTTTCGTAAAAATGGGTACGATGTTTTTTTTTTATGACACAGGGGGCAAACGAGCATGCGGCTCACCTAATGGTAAGTGACTACCGCTGCCCATGGTTACCCACAACACCAACAGCATTGCAGGTGTGCTGTCGGTCTTTTAAAAAGGAATATGCTCTTTTCATGAAGGTTATGTTGTCGTTTTTGCTTCACGTGTTAATATATAGATAAAAAAATTGTACTTACGTTACTATTATTAATTTTGCTTAGTATAATTAATTTCACCACGTATAAATTATTTTTTCAAGATAACTGTATTATTTGTTCTCGTAATCGTATTTTTGTATGTAAGTTTATATATAAATATAGTTGCAGAACGCATAATACGTGTATCCATTCCGTTTTATCTGATACGTGAATCGTTCAAACAATGTTATGGAAGGTACCCATCAATATTTTATTGGTTTTCCACAAAGTGCCAGTTGTATGATATCGCCTTCAGTCATCCCAAAGTTGAAAGGAAGTTGCATAGCAAAAGCCGGTCTACCCGGCGCTCAGTAGGCGATGCTACCGTTAAAGATTCCTTCATACTTATATATACTATTGAAAGTTTTAGTATCATGATACTAGAATAATGAAGACAGAAAGAAAAAAATATCTATCCATTTACTAGTTTTATATTTTTAAAATTATGATGGACTTCAAAACGAGGTGAGTTTCAATTATAATATTTTGAAGTAATGTATTGTATTTGTCAATAGTGAACAAGTTGCGAAAATATTGTTTTAGCTTCTTCTAAGATACAAGTTATCTTTTAATAAAATATAATAGGGACTCAACCTTCTTTATTCAGAAAAGAAGAACAGATTGAGAATTAGGTACTTTGTTAAAGACTAATCATATTATCTGTTTATTATTGTTATTAATTATTGTATATTTATTGTTGTATTATACTAATGTTTAATGCTCCATATTATGATTAATTTTTACAAATATTGAGTACTTACGTTGTATAAGTTATTTGGAAACAAATAAATGAATATTATTTTTGTGATGGACGCAGCCTTATACCATACTATCGTGCTTGCTGACCTAGTTCGAGATCGTCGCGGGATCACTCGGAAGGGTTTACGGTTTCAATATTTCGATGCTTTCGTATATACGCGTCAATTCCATATATTACTAGTGTAGCTTCCTGTTACTTACTTTATTACGGTTCAACGTAAACAATGCAGTAGTCCCGACCTATTTTTAACTTTGACGAGATTACTCGTAACACTTTGTGTAATGTCGAGCAGCCTTCACAAGGTGGTCTAATCTGGTTCAGGGGGCTGTATCCAATTTGCCGCCGCGTTATTGTGGGGCTTCAACCGCAGCCCTCGTAATTGACACCGAAAGTAAAACCGCAACTTATGAAGCGGAAAACGCGCAATGCAAAATGTGACGCGAAATTACGACACGTCGCAACCGAGACAATTGTCCGACTATCTAATCTCCTAAGTGCTTTGTTATTATTGCCTTCAATAAAAATAACGTAATTCACCAGTCGAATAGAGTGGTCTCATAGGTTTAGTTTAGAAAGTTGGCATCTTGTCCATAGACAAACCGCTATCGGTTTGTCTATATTCCTTACATAGGCTACTAGGCGACCGTTTATATAAAAAGAAGGCTCTATTTAACGGGAACTGATTTGGAAAAAAGTGCTCTGTGGGCTGCCATGAAGAACCGGATTACTATGGCGGGGATGAAAAACAAATCTACTACGATTTACGTACCGTAAACTCGTTACGCGTTCGAAACGAGACGAGTCGGGAATAAGGGTTACTGTCTGAATTTGTATCTTGTTGTGTTGGTACGAAGGTCGAGATTTAGTAATAGGGAGATAGGTTAAGTGCGTCGACGGGTGGTGAGAGAGAGGCGAGCTTATACGCTGTCTATGGAGAGTTTTGCAGGTTCATTCGTAGTTAGTATCGTTATCACAGTCGCTGTTCGGCGGTCGGACGGCGTGCTTGTTTCAGGGCGTAAGCGTTTTTCCCTACGATTTTCTTCGTCGACAGAAGTTTTGCGGAGATCGTGTTCTAGTATTTCATCGACGGTCTTTCCAGACTCGTGACCGATCGTGAGCGTTTTATAGAAAGTGAAACTGCATAGTTGAGGCGTGCCTATAAGTTGTGGAAGGATAATAATCTGACTTAGTGCTAAATACAGTGAGGTGGAACTCTTCGATGTGGGTATTCTATTGACTGTCCTGACTAGTTTCAATATCAGTGCAGTTTTGACCCAAAAACTGTGTCTAGATTATTGGGACGTTGTTATATTTTACTAGAACTGTAAGTTGACTTTTATTAGGAGCGTAATTCTAATAATTTGATTTAGTGTTGACTGTAGTGAGGTGGAACTCTGAGAAGTGGTAATACATTGACTATCCTGGACTGGTTTCGATATCAGCGCAATTTTGAATTAAAAATTGTGTCTAGATTATTGGAACTCCTATTAAATTTTCCTAAAACGGTAAGTTAAATTTTATTAGTAAAGTAAGTCTTAATTAAAAAAATGTGTATTTGACTGGTGTTACTTGGTAGAAAGCTACTTTTCCGTTCCAACGTTTCCGCAAACAATATCAGTACATTGGCTGTTATTGAAAAAGTTGTGTATACAATTTAAATGAAAACATTTCTATCAGTCTTTGAATTTGGTATGAAAAAAAATATTTTTAGCTTTATCGTAGAAAAAAAGAAAAAGTTTCAAAGGAATGTTTATTGAAAATAATGAGGAAAGATCACCTACTAACTTTTCGTTATTTATACTTAGATACTTAAATGTTTGTATCTGCATACAAAATGATATTATAAGGGAGCATCACTTAAGTATTCATAAGATGAACAAAAAACAAAAAGCTAATATCGTTTGTGCGTCGCAGTAACTCTTGAATTAATATTATTTACAACGGAAAGATGTTATTAGATTGGTACTGTTTATCTGTTATGAAATGTTTTAGTTTTTTGTTTTGTAAAAGTGACTTCTAAAAGGAGGAGGTTCTCGATTCGTTAGTATTTTTTATGCGTTTGTTATATGATTATGTTAACAATTCTGAATTGATTTTGATTATATTAATATATATTTATTTGCTGAAAAACACGGTATATAGATGCTAGTAATAATATATTATGAGTATGCGTGTTTTGCAAAAACAATGGCATGCAAATAGATAATCATCCTTACTAATATTATAAATGTGAATGGGAGTTTGTTTATTTATTTGTCACTTATTAACGCGTTAATGGTTTAATTAATCACTATGATTTTGAGTATACATGTATTATATAGAACAGAGAAAGATATATGCTACTTTTTATCTCGCGCGCATATGAAGCGGGTATAAAGTAGATTCGAATAACTATCGAATTCAGTAATTAAATTAACAAAGTTTACTTCCATGTAAGTATCATATTATTTGTGAAACGAATAAAGTTGTCATTTTTCTTTAAAAAACAAAAGTAAATTTAACTTTTATATACAATTATGACAAGTCTAAATATTGGTAAGTATTATTCATTTTAAAATAAGAATAATGAGATTTATATTAATTTTATCATGGTTGAAGTCACATTTTTTACTAATTAGAATTTATGGCAACTAACAAGTAGTTTATGGCAATATTCATCCAAAGCCGGTACTGATTACTTAACTCCTTACGTAATTAACATGTGAATACATTTGCATTTGCAACATGTGTACACTGCATTTACTGTCAATTAATTGGGCTCCATTAATTTTCCCGGGGAAGAGAGGATGAAAGCTCTAATTGAAAATTTAATTATGTAGATGATTTAACAATGGGTGTAGGTACCAAAATCCTGGGGTTAGTATGACATTTGACTTTTGTTTCAACTTATAAATTACATTTAACAATTGTCATTTGCAAATTTTGTTTAGGTACTCAAAAATAGCCATTACTATTTAGATACGATTTAATTTTTGAGGTGGCAAACAAGCGGTCCACCTGATAGTAACTGGTTACGCTAACCTATGATGTCTGCAATACTAGGGGTATTACGCATGCGTTGCCGACCCTGAAGAAACCTCTTCACTCCCCTTTTGAAGAACCCCATGCTGTCGTCTCTTGGGAAAACCTCGGCAGGTAGCTCATTCCATAACCTGAGTGTTTGTGGGAGAAAACATCTCTGAAACCGTGTTGTACGTGACCATTTAGGCTGTAGAATATGAAGGTGAACTCCCCGTCGATGGCGAGCCGTACGATACGTAATCATCAAATTTTAGTACTTTTTATATAAATTTCATTATACCATTAATTTTTACTAATATTATCAATTTGTAACAGTAAGTATATGTACCACCACCTCTTGGCACCGAGTAAATTAATTCATTAACATGTACTATTCTATCTTAATTCCATTTTTTAATGTTTCTCAGATACGAAGTATGTTGTGGTTGCCTTTAAATGTAAGAACATTTAGACCTAATCCACTACTATATGGTATTGAAATGCTTTGCTGTACCTTATGTTGGTGATCCCATAAATAAATGAATAAATAAATTCTCATGACATTTTATATATACGGTTTTTGTATTCAGCGGTTTCTTTTATTCTGATCTAATATGTCACCGATAAAAACTATATTTTGATGTATCTATTTCTGATAAAATATCGAAATTATTTTTAAGAAACTCGAGTCTTATTATAGATATATGAGATTTTATTTTGAACTATTTAGGGTATTTTTTATTACATAAAAATTTTTAAGCCTAAATTCAAGACAAGAAACAACGTGTTGAAGTATTTAATGTCTGCAAAAATCGGGAAGACTGAAACTTGGAAAATTTGTACATTGTGATAATATTTTTTAGAACAAATACTTGTATATCAATATAGATATTGTATACCGATGATGTAATTTTTTTTTGTAAAGTTTTAGAATGTCAAGCAACGACACAATTTAAAAGACAAGATCAGTAAACAAAATAAACCATAACCGGAACGTGACAGTGGCTGGATAATATCTAAATTATTTATCGATACTGCTCAACACGCACAGTCGATCGCTATGCATCATGACACCCGCTTACGTGATGTACTTAACATATTCAAATCTCCGTACATTGACATATACAAGTTATGTAATGAATAATATAATTTACGAAATCACTTGAACTCGAAGCAACCATGCTGTTATGTATATAAATAAAACTATTACTATACAATTTTTTTTAATGGACCATAAAGTAATGGTTAGCCTGCTTGCGCTATCGGTATAAAGCAGGTCAGTTAGCCCATCATGATGAATGCACCTGGAATTCAGCACGATGGTTTTCACCACGTGACGTGACGACACCACGTGAAGGTTGACCAGACAGGGTATATTGCTAGCAATGGCACGGGTAGTATGCACTACTAACAATCCCTCTCCCCTGTATTACAATTTATACCGTATTAATTGTTGTAACTTAAGTGAGATATATGAGGCGAAATGGAAAATATAGTCTTCTGTAATTAAAAATATAAATCGAGCAAACGGCAACTTGTAATTAAAGTTCCTACAGGTAGGCAACGTTGTAATATTAGTTGTCGATTTTTAATAACATTTGCATATTTTTAATTATTTTAAAAATGTTCAGACAGCAAACTAAAACACTAATAATAGAGTAACACTTAAACCTACCTCTAAGTTTGGCACCTACTTCATATTTTGCTTTGAAAATTTATAAATAATTTTTTGTTATCAAAATAACAATTTTTAGTGACAGCTTTATAAGAATCTTTATGCATGACTAACATTTTAATTCACTAACTGAGCACTGTTTGAATAATTAAAATATCGTAAATTATTGATTTATTTTCAAATTTCACAGATATTTTTGATATTGTTACACTTCACTACGTTTCGGTATGCACACTCTTAATGCCAGAGGAAGACTTTGTACAAAATTTGATTGCTTAGGTACCTCTGTCCCATTCGTGTTTCAACCATGAAGCAGCTGTTTGCATGGCTGTGTTTCGGTTTGTAGGCTGGAATATGGCGTGAATTTACTGGGTACAGAGGAATAACACCTGAGTCCTCAGGAATGGCAACGCATGGGGGGTATCATTGGCGAAACAGTATACTCTGTTATGTCCATGGTACAGCTCATGTCTATAGGCGACGGTTACCACTTTCCATCAGGTAGACCGTCAGCTTGTTTGCCATTCTAAGTTGTATAAAAATAAAAACACTCTTAATGCAATGACTTCAGTTGATGGTGTGTATAAGAGTCACATCCTTTTTCAGGGTGATGGTCGACAAAATGAAGATCTATAAGCACTACTAGATATGAGGCTCTTCTGTTGATCGTTCTATTAATATCACGTTATATAATTTTAAATAAATTTGTTTCAAGTTTTCCATATCTAGCAGTGATGTAGTGTGTAATGTTCTCTTAGTCGCCTCTGATCATAATAATAATGAAAAGGAACAGTGACACGTTATACGTGTATTAATTCTTCGACACCACACACTTACCAAACACTTTTTTTGCAATTGTAAGAGAAGATGAAAAGATATTCTTACTAATATTATAAATGTGTTCTTAGTTACTTCTTAGCACCTTAATGGCTTAAACAATCACACCACATTATAGTATATGAAATGGGGAAGGACATAGGCTACTTTTTACCACGCTTAGTGAACATAGATGGCCATCTCGGTCACGCCGACGAAGTCGCGTTATCTATGTACTGCCTATTACATACTGCGAAGTCGCGGTTAGTAATAATACGAGTATATAGAGCAACAACAAAGCCATTTATTTGTTGTACAAGATTATTTAGTGAAGTAACATCTACTTAGTAACCATTTCTCTACCTAATTTAAACGTACAGTAAATTTCCATATATCCAGGTAGAAATTAGAAGATTAGAGATAATTACTAACATTAATTAATGAAGATTGAACCCTGAAACTTAATATATTTATGTTTTAAGACACATGTCAAAATAAACATAGTTACTTTGTAACATTAAGTAATATCATAATATTTTATTAAGATTTATGATTATGAATATTCAAGGAAATCGTAAGATTAATGTACCTATTGCTTCAGGCAACTCGATTAATTTATTATTTTTCTGATTTCTAATTTTCTTGCTTTACTTGATTTTGGAGTAGTATCCCCAATATATATTTTTTTTATACAACTTAGAATGGCAAACAAGCTAACGGTCCACCTGATGGAAAGTGGTAACCGTCGCCTATAGACATGAGCAGTACCATGGACATAACAGAGTATACTGTCTCGCCCGTGATACCCCCCATGCGTTGCCATTCCTGAGGACCCACTGTACTCAGTAAATTCACGTCATATCCCACCCTTCAAACCGAAACACAGCCATGCAAACACAACTGCTTCACGGTTGAAACACGAATGGGACAGAGGTACCCAAGCAATCGACTTTTGTACAAAGTAACGTAAGTACTCTCTCTGGTAAATATTATCATATGTAATTAGAATTTTGT